AAAAAAATTACAGTAAAAATTTTCAATTAATGAATTTCTCTCGTTTATCCAATCGTCTCTTTGTTTCTTCTTCTTTCTGTTTTACATTTTTAATTTTGATTTTCTTTAGTTTTTTTTTTGTTTGTTTTTTTTTTCATTTCAACAAATAATCATTGAAAAATATATGCTAATTTTTATAAATAATTTTGTACAAAAGGAGAATTACCAGGACAAGTGCAGAAATGCATTCTATTTTTTTTTTTTCGTTTTGGATTCAAATTCGATTAGCAATGAATGATTTTTTTTTCTTTTTTTATAAATTAAAGGTAAAGTCGAGTCTGTTAATTTTAAAGACAAAATTAAATATTTAAAAAGAGTATTGAAGTATTCAAGTATTCATTTTGAAAAATATTCCTTGAAAATTTACATATCCCTTGTCAGTTTTTGATTGTTCTTTTTTTTTAAATATTATTAATTATTAATTAATATAATTATAGTCTTCGTCAGCAGCAGAAACAGCAGAAACAGCAGAAACTGCAGGATCAACAGTAGCAGAAATCAGAAGAATTTGAATATGATATTAATTAGGAAAATGAAACTAACTACTAGTCCAGTCAAATTAATCAAAATTAGGTAAGAATCTCGGAATTTCAGATACCAAACTATAAACTCGTATAAACTTGTATTTTGACATTCTAAAAGTTGTCTCAAAAACTATGTCCATATAATAGGATGTACGCTGCTATTAAAATCTAAGGTCGAACGTCACAAAAATCGATTTTTTTTGCAAATATCTCGTTTCCTATGGGTTTTTTGCTATTTGTATTTATTATCAATATTGTAGAGGAGTAAATTCCCTACAACTTTTGTTTACAAAATTTTTTTATACATTGAATCGTTTTCGAGATAAAGGCGAAGAGCGCGCAGTTAGAGCATTTTTATGGTCAACCGGTAGTCCAAGTCAAAAACACGCCATATAAAGTTTGTCAATTATTGATAAATACATAATTATTATTATTATTATTAACTGGCATTAGGAATTCGAAAGTTCATTGCCGCAAATACCAAATCCCGCCATTGTTCCCGTCTCTGAGCGCGATCCTTCCATTCGCGGTCTTCGTATCCTATTTCTTTCAGGTCCCTTCTAATATTATCCTCCCATCTACGTCTCGGTCTTCCCAATGGATAAATAGAAACCTCCCAAGTCAATAAATAGAAAATTAGGCTTCTCAAAATTCTTTTATAATCTAGGATTATTACCTGTACAGGTAGGATGCGCACTAGTAAACGCAAGACCTACCGCCAGCCAAGTAGTGCAGGCTCTAACCGAAAGATCAAGAAGAACGACATATCAAAAAATCAGCTTACCCACAATTATTGTTTTCCCGACGTTGCTAGCTCCCCGACTATCAGGTCGTAAGTTTTTATTTAAAGTCCCTCCAGTGCTCAATCATGCCGAGGATGAAAGGTCCTAATCGGCACGAGCTACTGGTTGTAATTATTTAAATAAATTATTGACGAGCACATGAGTAATGCCTTTTTAGAAGTTACTCATGAAAATTGTATATTTTATTGTATATTTTATTATTAGTTCACTATAGGTTTTCTTGTCTCATCTGTTAAATTCATTTAATAAATAATTCAATTTATAAGTGCACTCTCTTTTTTAGTAGTATTCAGCATTAATTTAGAGAAAATTGTTTTATCAATTAAAAATGATAAATGAATGAAAAGATTTCTGTTTTACGATAAATCAATTAGTAAGAAATCTTCTTTACCAACTAAGCAATATATAAGTACAATAGAAGCTCTCAAGGCTACATTTCTAGTAATCTCATTCATATTATGTTAGTTACTAACTTGACCACTATTGATAAAATGTATACTATCATATGGTATCAAAGAATACTACTTTTACTATCATTGATAGTAAAAACCTAGTGGTCAAGCTAGTAACTAACATAATATGAATGAGATTACTAGAAATGTAGTAGCTTTGAGAGTTTTTCGTAATGTTTGGAGGTGGCGCTTCAATCGAGCATGTTTTATTAATTAAGAGTATTCTCATGTATCTTAATTCTGATTGGTGGATTAACTCAATGAATGCATAAGGTGTTAATTGTTTTGAATTATAAAATAGAAGAGTTTAATAAGTACAATAAAGTTTAAAATGTCGATCGTATTATTAAATAATTTCATTACTCAGTTTGAAAATAAATAATTGTGTATTTAAAGTTTAATTATGCTAATATCATTCGTAAAAGGTAATATTAGGCATCAATTATTAGAATAAGGTTAGAAGAGATTGATAATAGGATAGATAAAAGTAGGAATTATACAAATGTGGCAACCTGAGTATCACAAACGGGATGCATCAATGCAGGTGTAAATTTAAAAATGTGACGTAGAAAGTAAAATTAATAAAATCGTGGTGAAAACAACTAGCAAGATTTGAAATATGGGGAAACCAACAAGAGTAGTTGTTTGTGGAATGAAAGGAGTTGGAAAAACTGCATTACTGGAACAACTGATTCATGGAAATGTCACACTTAAAACTGTAAGATATCATTTAGGTTATGTCAATGATAATTTGTTGAAATACGATTTGATTGATAGAATAATTTCAATGAATTATTAAAGATAATTTATTCGTTTAACATTTGACAGGAAATTCATCCAACGATAGAAGATATTTATGTGGCTAATATAGAAACTGACCGTGGAACAAAAGAGAGAGTAAGATTTTATGACACTGCAGGCTTGGAATCATTGCAAAGCAATGCAAACAACCAACAACTTCCTCGACACTATCTTGGATTTGCTGATGGATATGTCTTAGTTTATGATACAACCAAACCCGAATCATTGGATGTTTTGTTACCATTGAAAAAGGACATCGATAAGAACAAAGATAAAAAAGAAATAACGGTAATAGTTTTAGGTAATACAACTAATAACGAGAATAAATCAAACAGTTTAGAGAATACATCTAATAAAGCTAGTAATTGGTGTACCAGGGAAAAGATTAAACATTACGAAGTTAATGTAATGGATAGACAAACTTTGTTCGAACCATTTATCTTCTTGTCGTCTAGGTTGAATCCACCTCCAAACAAAAGTACTTTTCCACAATTAAGTATGGGTAGGAAAATAATTAAAACTGAGACTCCGTAAGATAAAAACAAATATATCGTTTAATTCTAATTCTAATTGAATATATGAAAGTAATTTATCTGGCTGTGGTAATAAATATCATCATCCTGTAAGGATGATTAAATATATTTAAGTTTATTTCAACAATTTCTTCGTAGATCTGATTAAGAAGAATCTTCAATTATAAATTTAAATATATATCAAAGTACTTAAGTTTATTTATCACAAAACTCTAATGATACAAGGATAAAACAAAAGTCTTCCTAAATTGTGTTAATTATCAAATTCATCGTTTATAATACTGATCAATGACATGGTATTTCACTTATGTGTTAGTGAATCGTATTAATTTTCTTGTTCTTTTTTTTTTTTTTTTTTTAATCTATTTAAGTCATATGGCTTGAAGTACTTAAATACTTTATATGTTAAATTAAACATTAGTTAATTAATTAAAGCCGAAAGTGTTGTACTGTACACTTTAAGTATAAACTTTTATAATTGCATTTATTACCCATAAGATACAAATTACCATTCGATTGGTTTAACCAATTGTTGTAAACGTATGGTTGTATTAAACGCGTAATCCCAAATTCTACTGCTGATACCGAAACCTAAATAAGAATAAAATTATGAAATAAAATACAATAATAAACAAAGAAAATATTAAGAGAATAAACAAATGAAAATTACCTTTATCGTGATGAGAAAAATGATGATAATTGTGATACCTTTTTAAATTATATAAATATGTTTTATTGTTTGGCGCACCATAGTGCAAATAATAATGCGTTAAATCGTAACACAAGTATCCTGTAAAAAATTTCAAAAAATTCTGTTATTTTCTTGTTTAGGTTTACAAAATTATTTATACTGTATATGTTAATTTATATCGCATAAAGAAGTATAAATGTTTAATTATATGAATATATATGTGTGTTAAATAATTAATAATAATAATAATAATAATGATGATAGTTCACCTGCAGTAGTACCAGCGGCAATAAAATAAGCTATAAAGTCAGGAAATATCATTACGTACAAATTCCATATACCAATAGCAATGATGATACCAGCTATGGGTGGAAATACTAATCTTTGACCATCAAATGGTGCCTAGAATTAATAAGAAAAAAAAAAAAAAGAATAAAAAGGAATGTATTTTAATTTATATTTAATATACGAAATGTATCTTATAGAAGACCAAATTAAGTTAGAAGCTTCCTGTTCTGAGAAAGGCAAACAAACTAAACGCCTTGCATGATTCATCTCTGCAGACGTAATTCATGTGAGTTCATTGAACAACGCGTTTGCATACTAAATGTTCTTGAAAGAAACGTAACTCACAAATCCCGTTGCATTATCATTTACGATTAAATAGATAAATTTAGAATTATTTTATTATTCGAATTTACCTTGTGATGCAAACCATGTAGAAGAAAGTGCAAGGTGATTAGTGTTTTGGAATTTTGTGGTGGCCTGTAATGAAATAATTTACGATGTAACAAATATTCCTCAAACGTCCATAACAATACACCTGCTCCAAATGCTACCAGGCCTTTTAATAAAGATACAACTAAAGAAAAAAAAAAACAAACAAAATCATAAAATTTATTTTCATTTTTTATTTTTGTTTTTTATACAATTTTTAAATATAAAAAAAGAACAATCAAAAAATAATCTAACGTTGTGCAGACATTTATTTAATATTTTGTTCTTTTCATTATAAAATTATTTTCATTAAAGATGTAGATGATAATTACGATTACTTACTTGGAAATTGATGATCTAAGATTGAATTAATACCCATGTAAAGAAAAAATAAACATACGGGAATCCATACGATCGGTATCAGGTACCACGGTGTTATCGTTAAAAATTCTAATACATTGGATCGAAATAATCGTATGGGTCGATTCACAGGTAGATTAACCCATTCCCAATATTTGTCACTCAAATTGCCAACTTGATTTAAAAGTGGTGCATCCCAATCGATCAGACTCTACGATGAATCTTAGTTTAAACATTTTTTTATTTTTTTTTTTATTTTATATAATTTTTTTATCTTTTATATTACAATTGAATATTATCTAATTTATCTGTTTATCCGTATGACGTGTTTTTTCCTAAGAATTGATAATTTGGGATATTATCATTGAATCTTATTGATCATTGATTATCAATTTTCATAATTATCAATGAATGTGTTTCCTTTCTTTTTTGATTTCATTGAAATTTAATTACGTAAGCTTATTCCAATATTATTATTATTTTTTTTTTATCAATTAATATAAAATATTAGATTAAATCATACTTCGTAAAAAATTTTCTTTTTGTTTCGTATGTCGCGTGGATAAAAAAGAAAGAAAATAATAATAAAAAAAAAAAGGATAAAAAGATTGGAAACAATAAATTGGTCTATTGAAAATTATTCTCGGAATTAAAGGCATAAAATTGCATAATAACTCGTTTTAACGTTAACTACAGTTAACATAGTTATCTCATTTGTCCTTCGTGTTTATTTAAAAAAAAAAAAAATATACAATTTTTTATTTTCCAATTTTTATTATATTATTTTCAATATAATAATCAATAGAAGACATCAACGGAAATGATTTGATAAAAATCGAATAATTAATCAGATTATTATTATTCAATCATTCTTATCAATGTATCTTATAATTCTTTTTTTTTTTCCTTTCGAATTTCGTTTATCAAAAATACGATTATTATTATTATTACAAAATTAAGATATTAATCATCTGACGCGTTTTCAATTGAACAAGTAATAATATTAAATTAAAAAAAATTAAAAAAAAAAAAAAAAATGAATAAAAGTAAATGTAAAATAATTTTGTAATTTAATTGAAATTAATGATTAATTAATTTGAAACTTACTTCAAGTTCGCTATATTTCATTTTATTATCCAACGCGTATTCATCGAACAAATAAAGGGCTGCTTTAGAATGTGGATAATCTTTCAATACTTGATCCAAATGTTTGTCTTTGTAATAACTAAGCGTCTTTTTACCACCTGGATGATGATTTAAAAATGCACGAATATCAAAATTACGGCCTTGATATTTAACTATAAATCTGTCTTCATCTTCTACTTTTTTTTCTTCTTCTTCTTCTTCTTCTTCTTCTTGTTTTTGTTTTATTACATATATATTGTTGTTGTCAGATGTTAAATGATTATCATATCGTTGCAATGTTTTATCATCGACAACATTAATTGAATCGTTTAGATTTATATTTTGAAATTTATTAACGTGACGTAACTTAACGTAACTACTTTGTAATAAATTATTATTATAAGTTTGTTTTAATTCGCCCATAACTGTCATTTTATTTGTTTGTTTGTTTGTTCTTTTTTTTTTTTTTTTTTCTTTGAAAAATCCACTCTAATATATTATTGTTTCTTTTTTCGTTGGTTGGATAAACTTGAAATTCGCGGCGTGTATTTTTTATATATTTCCTTTCTTCTTTAACAACAAACTAACCAACACTGCCACTATAAAAAACTATACAAGAAGAAGAAGAAGAAGAAGATAAAAAAACAAAAAAAACAAACAACAAAAAAAACATAAAAAAACTATTATATCACTCTCTAACTGAGAAAAGATTAGACAACGTTAACACGCCAGTCACGCATATACTACTACATCAAATTCTACGCCTACCTTGTTAAAAGCTTCATAGATAAGATTTCACAGGCGGCATTACGTGAACATTCCGATTATAATCATACTTCATCGCTAAATTTAATATTATCATCGATATGCTCTATCTATCCGTTTATCTATTTATTTATCTCTCTTTCTTTCTTTCTCTTTCTTTCTCTTTCTTTCTCTCTCTCTTTCTCTCTCTCTCTGTAACTTTCATTCTCTTTCCTAAGAATTGAATTTCTATTTTTTTTTTCTTTTTCTTAATAATTTACAAATTTTGTTGAAAATTATTACAGAGGTAAGAATTTTCGTTTGATTGTTTTATTTATCTCACATTAATATTATTTTCTCCTTTTCTCCATTTTCTCATATTTGTTTTTGTTTTTTTCTTCTTTTTCATACTTCATATATTATACGTAAACTCAGGAAACCATGACGTATTATTTATTGTCCTTGTAACATAACACTTTCGCAATTACTTTGTGAGTATTCACAATTATGTCTATAATTATTAATGTTGCATATCATCGATTGTAAATATCATTGCGAAGATTTTGTCGAATGTTCCTTTTAATATTATAAAGTTCAATTGGTTTTTTTTAATTAGTTTTTTATTAGTTTATATATATAAATATTATTTCTAATCTTTTTTGTTTTTGTTTTGTTCGAGTCATTAATAAAAAAAAAAAAAAAAAAAAATCAAATAACAAAGTCATTTATATCCCCAATTAGTTTATAAAAAAAAAAAAAGAAAGATAAAAAAGAATCATTAAATTTTATTTTGTAACTTGTTAAAGTTCATTGGCATTAAATTCATATTTAATTGTTTATTTAAATAAATGTTTATTTTATTATTGTCTAGTTAGAATAATTTTTTCCACTAATTATTACGTATTTACATTAATTTAAAAAAATTTTATTATTAGAACAATTGTTAGATTGAAAATAATTATTAGATAAGTATAGAACAAGATTACTGTTATCATATAACGTGTGTGCGTTGTGTGTGTGTGTTGTGTGTGTGTTGTGTGTGTGTTGTGTGTGTGTTGTGTGTGTGTGTATACATTTAAACCTTGTTTGATTAAGTTAACTTTATTGTTAGTTGGATAAATATTTGACATAAAGATTTGAAGAATTGTTTGAATTTATTTAACTTTCGTAAATCTTTCGTAAAAAAAAAAAAGATATAAAACAAGGGAATTCATATTGTTATCAATTTGAAAAAATAAATATTAATGTGCCCCACACACATATACACAGTTAACACACACCTTAGTTTTTTTTTCTTCTTTCTCTTTTTTTTTTCTTTTTTTTTTTTTAGAAAAAAGAAAAACAATTTGACCTCGTATTAATGATACTTGATGTATATAAGTATCCATATTTTGTTAACGTCATATATTAATAGTAATTTACATAACTGGTTTGACGCAATTTTTATATCGATTATATTTATATAAATATCGTTCATGATCATAAATAATCAATCCTGGATAAAAATCAAATATATATACACACACACATTTATATATATATTTATTTATTTTTATAGATAATTAAAAACAGAAAAAACAAATTAATTATTAAAAAGGTGAGTTTCATTTAATAGTTTTTCCAATAAATAAAGCATTTATTCAAACACTCGTGTTAAAAATCAAATATACACACATATATTAGGTATACAGCTTTGTTTCCACTAATTTCCTACAGATGGCTTATAGAAAAAATGATGGAAGCAAAGTTATACATTTATTATTATATTATATTTTATTATAAATATATAATTAATATTTAAACAATATTGAAAATATAATTTTGGTATTATAGGAAGAATTAATAATTATTATATATATATTTGTATTATTATAATTTTATTATATATATTTTATATTATATATTAGATGTACAGCTTTGTTTCCATTATTTTCCTACAGATGGCTTATAGAAAAATGGTGGAAGCAAACTTATACACCTAATATTTATACATATATATATATATATTATTTATAGATAATTAAAAACAAAAAAAAACCAAATTAATTATCAAGGAAGGGTTTATTTAATAATTTTTCCAATAAATAAGCATTTATTCAAACACTTTGAATTGTTGTATACAATACTTCCTAATAATCGTTCTAATTTTAAATCGAAGTGTCTAATTTTTTTTTTTTTTTTTTTTTTTAAATCGTACAGCGACGAAGCTCGAGGTATTCTTACTTTTTTTTTTCTTTCTTTCTCTCTTACATGCATACACGCACACACACACATACACACGCGTTCTTTCTCTTTCTCTCTCTTCTTCCAAACTATAAACAAATCATACAAGAAAATTATTTTCAAGATTATACAAAAAAAAAAAAATAAAAATAAAAATAAACATTCGGGCCGATCCAGTGAACCAAAAAACAAAAAAAAATAATAAAATCATTTGTAAATATACAGAAAATGTATTCAATGATTTACGTGTTATATATATATTAATTATTATTAAAATTATTTATACATAATTATTATATATATCGGGCATTAAAAAATACATCGACTTGTTCTTTCATTTTTGTTCTTTCTCTTTTCTTCTTTCAGTTTCTTTTTCTTCTTTTTCTTCTTCTTCTTCTTCTTTTGAATCATGTACATATATATAGTTACACTTACGGTTTGTTTTTATTGTTTTTATTTATTTATTTTTTTTTTTACAACTTCGTCGTTGTTCTTATCTCGATCTTTTTTTGTTTTGTTTTCGTCTTGTCCTTTTGTTTCTTTTCTTGGAAATATCGATAAAATGTTAGTCAGACTTAGATTAGAATTCATTAAATAAATTCGTTCGCTGATTCATCGAATAAATTTGTAAATTATTTTGCCGATACAATTTTATCTGTTGATCTTTATAATTTTCCTGTTTTTCTTTTTGTTACTTATCAAAGAAAATAATATATTATTAACAGATAAATTTCTTTGCTGTTAGTTATAATAATAATAATAATAATAATAATAATAATAATACTTACTACAATCATAGATTATTAACTTTACGTTGACCTTGGACGTGTTACGTAAATTTTTAGTTTATTTTCTATTTTGTGTGTGTGTCTTTTCGTTCAAGTTCCAGTATTATATGCATTTTTTTCTATTTTTTCTTATTTTCCTTTTTTTTGGTAGATAAAACGAAAATTTCCCTGTTTTAGTTTCCCTGTTTTATCCGGAATAATAATTGTATATTTCAATTGTTAGTTCTTTGAATTTTCTATGATAACCGAATGTTTCTATTTTTAAATGTACGTTTTTAAACAATTTAACAGACATTATGTATTTGTATGTGTAACTTTTCATTCATATTTTTTTCTTCCTAAATTTGAATGTGTTTTTATCAGTTTTTACTGCAATTCTAATTCTCTACATATATATATGTATATCTTTTTAAAAGGCCAGTAATTTATTTATTTATTTATTTATTATTCGGTTCTTTCGACATGAAACAAAAAAAAATTAGAAGATAAAAAAAGAAAATAAAAATGAAGTTTGTATGATAAATATAACATATGAATAATAATAATAATAATAATAATAATAATAATAATAATAATAATAATAATAATAATAATAATAATAATAATAAAAAANATAATAATAATAATAATAATAATAATAATAATAATAATAATAATAATAATAAAAAAGAATTGTAGTCGAGTAAAAACCTTTTTGAATTATTTTATGCAAATAATTTTGAATTCGCAATTTGCAAAAATTTACAATACCTACCCAAATAACTAATATCTAAAATTTATTTTGCAATTTTTCTTTTAGTATATTTATTTTCTGTCTTTTCTTTTTATTTTTTTTATTTTTTGTTCTATTATTTATTTATTCTTGTTTTTTTCTTTAATTATTTATTATCTTTACTACATAGATATTATTTTAAAACGTATCTCGTTGTACGAATAAGAACGTAATTTAATATGTTTTTTTTTTTTTAATTCACAACTTGAAACTAGAGCATAGCCCAAAACTAATTGCAAATATTTATTTATTTGTTTAATTAATTAGTTCATGGTTAGTTTAGTTTAGTTTTTAGGAACGATGGTGTATATTTGTTCTTTGGGTATTTTTTTTCTTTGGGGGGGGGAGGTTTGTTTAATTCGATTAATTATCGATCGTAATTACTTTTTGTCCCTTTTTCAAATCATTCTTATTAAAAATTGTTTAAATTATTGTAATTTCGTTAGAACCGTCTTGTTTTTTTTTGTTTTTTTTTTGTTTTGTTTTGTTTTGTTTTATTACACATTTAAGTACAGTATCTCGATATATATTAGGATGACCAGAAAATATGAATTAGTAATTTTGGAAGATTTATTATATTGTAATTGATTTTATTTAAATACATTTTAAAATATTTAAAATAAAAAAGAGTATTGTTTATAAAAAAAAAACAAAATTATATAATTGATCATCCGATCACATGACGGATTATACAAAATTATTCGTGAATTAAAAATAATGTAATAAAAAAAGAAAAAAAAAAAAAAGAACAAACCAACTGGACCAGCCACAATTAACTTCGCAATTTTTTTTAAAATCTTTTTTCTTTTTATTATTGTTTTTTTTGTTTTGTTAATTTTCTTATTTTTTCTTTTTTTCTTTTTTTCTTTTTCTTTTTCTTTTTCTTTTTCTTTTTTCTTTTCAATTTTATATTTTAATAAAATTCTAACAAACGAATGTCAGAAGATAAAATATTTTTATATATATATATATTTTTTTTTTCGATGACAAAAGTTCATAGCCTATCGAAGCACGTATTTTCAATAAAAAATAATTATTACATTATTATTATTATTATTATTATTATTATTATTAATATTAATATTTACACCTCGTTCACGCGGATGCATTTATTTATTTATATTTATATAAATATAAATAAAATGATCAAACAAACAAACCCAAGTATAATCCGATTCATCAATTCGTATTCTTTTTTTTTTTTTTTAATTTTGTTTCATCTAATTATTAATATTTTTTTTTGGATTATTATTATAATTATTATTATTAAAAATCAGCCTATCACGTAGTACGTTTTACAATAATAGCTTCTAGAAAAATAGAAAGAAAAAAAACATTAGGAACAATAATTACAAATAAAAATACAAATAAAAAGACATAAATGAGAAACCATAGGAAATTATGGCTTTGACTGTTGTTTATATTTTTCGCATCTAATATTTAAAAATGTTTATGTCTACGAAGATATTTCTTAACTTTGTTTGTGTGTGTGTGTGTTTTAATTATTTATATATTTATATATCTATTTTTATATGTTTTGTTTAAATTTTGTTTATCTAAATATCTATTGCCAAATATATATTTAAAATATTACGTTTCACTTGCCACACTTTCGTTTGATGGCAGTTCCGTTTCGTCGAAACTTACTTAACACATTTGTTAAATTAAATTAATAATTATAATAATAATAATAATAATAAAATCAATTAGAGAGCGATAAAATATATTAGAAATTAATTTAAATAAAATTTTCAAAAGGCCGGCTGCTGATCTAATAAAAAATTTTATTGATTTATTTATTTTTTTCAATTATTATTACTATTATTATTATTATTATTATTATTGTTATTATTATTATTATTTTTGTTATCTTCAGTTTAATTGTTTATCATTATTAATTTTTATTTTCTTCTTCTAGTTCTAGTTTCGATAATAATAATAATCTAGGGACAATTTTTTAATCATTTTTTTTTTTTTGTTTGTTTCGATCGAATCAGATTTTCTGTTCTTTTCTTTCTTTTTAGTTTTTTTTTTGTTGGTTTTTTTTATTTTTTTTTATTACTAATTCGCAAATTACAGTCTAATCAACTTCTCGAGCTTTTTCGCTGTACATTATTTTGTTTATTATTTCACTCGTTTATTTAGTTTCTTACTTTTTTTTTTTATTTATTTTTATTCTATTTTAATGAAATTTTAATTAGATTTCCTTTTTTTTTTGTGTTATTTGCCTATTAAATTTAATTGGACAGCTTCGCTCGGCTATTTTAAATTCTCATGTTATTAATATTTTTCCTTTTTCCTTTTTTTTTTGTTTTTTTGTTTTTTTATCGTTAATTTCTTTTTACTATCATTTTATCGTCTTTATTTTTATCATTCCGTTGCTTCTTTCTGTGTTCTAATTTGAAAGATCGAAATATGGGTGTATTGTCGATTGATTTCTTCTTACATTTTTTTTTTCCACAATGGCTTTGTTTCTCAAATCAAAACCAAATGAAAAAAAAAAAAAACCAAATATCCAACAAAATACAAATTCGTAGACAAACTTTTTCATTCTACTAGCAGAAAATTAATCTCATTCTCTCGTCGAATATTATTATTTTAAATAATTAAAATAATAAAAAAAAAAAAAAAATAAGAAATAAACAAACACGAAGATAAATAAAAGAAAAAGATGGTAACTTGCTTTTAGAAATGAAATAGGAATAAATAAAAAAAAACAAACAAACAAATATTACAGACACGCGATGGAACAACTCGCATACTCATTTTCACGCAAAGTATATTAAAAAAAAAAATAAAAAAAACAAACAAACAAATACATTTATATAATATTTTAAAATGTTACGCCATGTAAAATCTTTCAGCTTAACCTCACTTTTTTAATTTTATCTAAATCATGCGATTTCAAACGGTATCTTCCTAAATCTTCGTCCACGAAGATTTTGAAAATCCTAATCTCGTTTTAAGTTTCATTATATTTTTCTTTTTATTCCCTCAAAGGAAGCACGAGACCCGTTTATTTTTTTTTTTATATTTTTATATTTCATTTTTCGCTATCTCTCTCTTATTTCTTATATAATTATTATTATTATTATTATTATAATTATAATTATTAATATTAATATTAATATTCCTCGGATGTTATATGTACAGGATTTTAATTCCGTTTTTATTTATTATTTATTTTTCACGGTTGTTTATTTTATTATTATTATTATTTTTTTTTTTTTTAATTGAATTTTACTTTTAATTCCTTTTATTTATTCCGTTTGCAATAGTAGTAGTAGTAGCAGTAATAGTAGTAATAATAGTAGTTTGTTCGTTCGTTCATTCGTTTTTTTTAAATTTATTTTTCTTTTTGTTTTTCGTTTTATTTTTAAAGAAAAAAAAAAAAAAAAGAAACAACAACAAAAGAACGTGAAAAAACGCTCTCGTCCGAGTACGTGTGTGTATTTTTAATTTTTTTTTAATTTTTAAATTTTTTTCTTGCGATGAAGCATTCAAAATTCCATAGCTTCCATTTTAAAAGCTCTACCTTGTAGCTTATTGGGAACTATTTTGGATATAGGCGGTGCACTATTGTTATCATCGTCGCTGTTAACATCTTCATCTTCTTCTGGAAAATCTTCTAATCGATCATGGTACTCGTCTAACTGTAATAAAATAAAAAAATACAATTTAAATAAATCTTTGTTAATTTTATTTCAATTTTATTTCAATTTTATTTCATTGTATTATAGTATGTAAGTTTGTTTCATTAATTTTATTGTTTTTTCTTTTTTTTTTTTTATTCTCATCCAACTGTAATAAAATAAAAAATACAAATTAAACAAATCTTTTTTTAAAATAATTTACTTTTAATTTTATTCATTTGTCTGTACGTTTAAAAACAAATCTTTTTTTTTTTAAATAATTTCATTTTCATTTTATTCATTCGTATGTACGATTTGTTTCATTAATTTTATTGTTTTCTTTTTTTTTTCTCATACAATTATATTAAAAATAAAAATCAAACGAATTTATTTGTTTTTATATTTTATTTTTTTTAATTTTATTCATTCGTATGTACAGTTTGTGTGTTTCATTAACTTTATTGTTTTTCTTTTTTATTTTATTTTATTTTATTTTATTTTATTTTATTTTTTAAGTATCAAAAGTAAGAGAGAACACTTTGGCTGTTAGCCAAAGCTCGAAATTGATTGGACGAGTGTGTAGGTTTATATATGTAATGTAATATAATGTAATGTAATGTATATGTATGTATATATGTGTGTATTAACTCGCAAGCTCCCTTTACAAATTGAAACATTATCTCAACTATTCGCGATTGAGTTAGTTCCGTTCTCTTTCGTACAACTTGGCTACACAAATTTTCTTTCTCATTTGTATTGTCTTCTTATTTTATTCATTTATTTATTTATTTATATATATATATATATTTTTTTTTTTTTTCAATGTGTCTCTTAATTATTTCATTTAAAAATATCTTGTAAGAAGCTTTTTATCCAATTGATATTGTTCTTTTTTTTTTTTTTTGAATATTATTTCATCTACTGTGTGTACATGTGAATGTGTTGTCTCAAAGAAAGAACTAATTGTTTATTATTAAACTATGAATTTTTTATAAAACAAAAGAACAATATCGTATATGTGGTGGCAATTTTATTTTTGTGTATTATTTAAAAATATCCGTGCATAATTCGCAATATCTTTACCTAACTAATACACTAATTTCAAACTGGGACATAAATTTTCTAATAATTTGGAAAAATGAAGGATTAATTAATAAAAATAAAAACAACAATAAAAAAAAAAAATAAAACCAATGAATATTTAGCACGAATTTATTTTTAAACGAATAATCAGAAAATAATAATAATAATAATAATAATAGTAATAATAATAATAATAATTAATAATAATAATAATAATATTAAATTAAGTTCTAATAATTTGATCGATCTCTAATTCATTTTAATAATAATATTAATTAAAAATAATATTTTAAATCAATAAATTTAATAATTTATATAATTAAAATATAAATTACACAATTCATATTGAATTTAATTTGATGTCTATTTTTTGTTACTGTATTACCCCCTTCCCCCTTCTTTTTAATTACTGGTTACTATACACGTGTTTGTTTAATATTTTAAATCAATAAATTTAATAATTTATATAATTAAAATATAAATTACACAATTGTTATTAAATTTAATTTTATGTCTTTTTTTTTGTTACTGTATTACCCCCTTCCCCCTTCTTTCTAATTAATGGTTACTATACACGTGTTTGTTTAATATTTTAAATCAATAAATTTAAAAATTTAAATAATTAAAATATAAATTACACAATTCATATTGAATTTAATTTTATGTCTTTTTTTTGTTACTGTATTACCCCCTTCCCCCTTCTTTTTAATTACTGTTTACTATACACGTGTTTGTTTAATATTTTAAATCAATAAATTTAATAATTTATATAAATAATATATAAATTACACAATTCATATTGAATTTAATTTTATGCCTTTTTTTTTGTTACTGTATTACCCCCTCTTTTTTCTAATTATTGGTTACTATACGTGTGTGTTTATCGTAATATTTTTTGATGGGTATTTAACTTAAGTAAATATGTTAATAATTTTAAGATTAATAAAAAGAACGAAATAAAAAATAAAAAAAAATAAAAAAATGAAAAATAAGAAAGTATCTATCAAAGTGCATTCCGAAAAATTCATCTACGACGGACTCACATGTGATGCAGTTACGGGAGATATCGATTTAGCCAACCACAGAGAGAGACATAGAGAGGAAGCTTACCTATAACTGCAGATCATACCGAATGGTTCAACTTTGAACAACACATCGAACACACTTTTTCTCGAATTATTCGTTCACCACGAGAACAGATACAATTGAATATTTTTCAATCCAATCAAAAGATAAATCTAATATCGTTCAATTATCATCCCTCTCAAACCAATTTATTCGATATTTAAATCCGATATTAAGTAATAAACAAATAAACACAAATTATGTTTAATTAATTTTAATATGAATTAAAATTAAATTGATTTAATCTTCTTCGTTGATTTAAAATGAAATATAATTAAATAATGATTCGAATTGATTAAAAAGACAAAATTGTATCTAATTTTGAGTATGTGTGTCAAGGATATATATGTTTGATAAAAAAAGAAAAGAAGACAAAAAGATTGATGGGAATCCTTGAATCTTTTTTCCACATTTTCAATTAAATTCTTGTTAACATTAATCTTCACAGATTTTTATTTTCTTTTTATTATTATTTATTTATTTTTTTTTTCTTTAACATCGGATATGAAATAAAATCAAAAAATTCCATTCTTTTCTCGTGGTGTACAAAACGAGTATTATATATTCGTGTAGATATAATTAATTTCAATCTAAAAAAAAAAAAAAAAACCCAAAAATACACACACCCACATACACATACTTGCAAATGTACAATGATTCAGCAAGGGGAGAAAAAAATAATTGCACATTTCAAAGCTTTGAAAAAAAAAAAAAAATAAAATAAAATAAAATGAAATGAAAAGTGGCAAACAATTGTACGAGTTTTTGATAATGAAAGAAAAAAAAAATATAAAAATAATACGTGTGTATGTATGACCCTTTTTTTTTCCATGTTGCAATGATCGTAAAGAAAATTTCAGTTCTTTCTTTCTCTCGCGGGAGAGAGAAGCGCCATTTTATCAATTGTCACGAATTGCATTCAGTATGCGAATATAAAACGATTATTTGATCGAAAGGGGTTCTTGGTTCCCCCTATTCTTATCTGCACGGTTACTCATAGTTAAACACTAACACACACGCGTATGCCACGCTTGTCAACTAATGTCAACTAATATGTGAAGAAGATATATCCTAAATTTATCATTTTTCTTTCCTTTAAATATTTTTCATTCAATTTTTGTTTCAAATCAAATTTAGAAAAATATTTCTTCATTTCTAATCACATTTTCTGTTTTTTTTTTTTTTTTTATCTTGTGTCTGTCTTCCAATATAAAATAAATTAATTTAAATCTAAAATAAATATAAAGTATAATATTATAATTGTAATAAATAATAAAAAAATACAAATGTAAAATAATATAAAATAAAATAAAATGATATTATTTATATTACACGATTGATATAAAAAAAAAAAAACAACAACAACAACAATTAACTTTATTTAAATTTTAAAATTGTTAAAAAATATAATGTCATCATTTTCAATATAAAAATTATCAACGTGCGTGTTTAAATTAAATCATTAAAAAAAATTGTATACAATTTATTTTAGTATAATTTAATCAGATTTTAATTAATAAGTATTCATAATAATTGTTAAAATATTATAATGAAAATATTTTAAATATAATTAAATAATGAATTTATTTAGATAAAATAAATTCAAACCTTTACCATGAAAAAGTTCATAGTCAAGGCTAGTATATGTTGAACTTATTGTGTCATTGAACTTGATTACGTTAGCCAATTGACGTGTTCAGATCGTACATACATACTTTATGAACAGTTTCATCATCCTTACATCTACAGTTATTTTTTTAATTTTTAACACAACGAAGTTTAATTTAAATTCGTCATTTTTTTCTTTTTTTTTTTTTTTTTTGATTGCTTATCCACAAACACGTTGATAATTTATTTAATATTAATATTATTATAAATAATCATAATTTATTATTCCAAGAAAAACAGACAAGAGACTTTAACAAATTATTTCTTCAATTTTTCTATTATTTTTAATCAAACATTGTGACAATAAGTGAGTTCATGAATCATCCTGTATAAATCAATTCTTTCGTTTCTATTTATTTCTAAATTTAGATTGAAAAAAAAAGAAAAAATGTGCTATGATAAAAAGAAATGTAAAGAAAGACGAATGCATTAAAGTTTTATATGACGTAAGAATATTTCAAGCAGGATTCACGTTATCGATTAAACATGATACAAAACTGTATATACATATACATCTTGCACAATATTATTTGACCCTTTTTTTTTCTATTTCATAAAATCTCATTTAAAACTATGATTAATATAATTTTTGTTGTTGTGATGATTCGTATGCAAATGTTGAAAATGATCAATGCAATAACAAATATAATTAATGAGAGACAAAAAAGCCACACAAAAATTATTTTTGATACTCTTTTCACACTTACAAATGAATATATATATATTAAAATAATATATACTTACATCAACGTCACCCATCATTTCCTTAGTTGATACAGTAGTATCAATACGACGGATGCTACCTTGATGAATATCCACGTCGAGTTTCACACATTGGAATACTCTGAGTAGAAAAACTATTGGTATTGGTGCAATACCAGCAAAAATAATGCAAGCTGCTATTGCTAATACCCAGCCTGGATAAGGGGTTGGTACTGTTACACCCTAAATTAACAAAATAATACAACAACTTAACGTATTTATCATTTTAATTAAATATTGAATTACTCAATATAAAATCATTTCAATTTTTAACAGAGTGTCGTTTGAAAAAATCAAACGTTTAGTATATTTAAAAAAATATTGTATTAGTATGTATAATATTAATGTAAATATTTAAATTAAGTATTTAATATGTTTTACAAAATATGATAAAATAACAAATTGTTTTATTAAATCAAAATGAATAAATAATTACCAGTGTAGCATTCCATGCTGAATATTCTGGTTTCTTAATAAACATGGATGCAATACTAGATATTAGTATGCAAACCATGATTATTGGTGCAAGAAATCTCCATGTTACTTGCCAATAAATACCTGGCCTATAACCTGTCATTTCTTCAATGTCTTTCGTGAATCTAATGAAACATTTATACAATTATAGTTTAGATAAATTTACATATCAATTAACAATAATATATATATATAATAATAATAATAATATCTTACTTTTCGTGACCATAAACAAAGATAACAGAAATCATTTCCATAAGTGCAACCATGACTAAACCAATGGTACCAGCAAAACTGTCAAACATTTTCAACCAATATTCACCTGCACCGGTACAGAATATCAGACCAACGAAGAAACACACGATACACACTACACCTAAATTTAAATAATTAAATATGAATAATTAATATTCAAAGAAGACAAAAAAATGATTCTAATATAATTATTATAATTACCTGTTATATATTGTTTCTTAATTCTTTTGAAAAGATCAATGTCAAATATTACGCATAACATTCCTTCCATAATACCAATCTGTGAACCAAGACCAAGGGCCAATAACATTAGGAAGAATATGCAGGACCAAAATGGTGCACCTGGAAGCTCGACGATAGCTTGTGTGAAGACTATGAATGCCAAACCTGTACCTTCGGCTGCCTACAAAAATTATTCTTTAATTAATAACGTTATTATTATTATTATTATTATTATTAATTGGCATGAAAAATTTGAAAGTTCATTGCTGCAAGTATCAAATTTAACAGTTTAACTATTATCTGGTTAATTTTCATCACCAACATTACCAATACTATCATAAGTCGGTATATAGGTGTATACTCGGATAGAATCGATCGTAAATATAAATTTAGAAATAATCGATTGTAACTTAGTTGAACTCACGTTATTAAGTTGTTCGTTCAAACTGCATACATCCAAGGTTAAATTAGTGGCCGAACTGTTGAACGTATTAACAACGTTTTCGTAATCCTCCATCGTTGAATTTTCAAAGAGAAAACCATACTTGATTAGAGATACCTTATTGCTGTAAGCAACAAACAAAAATAATGGGAACATTTTAATTTTTTCACAATACTTTTAACAACTGTCATTGCCTGCTTTACAATTTTTTTCTTTCCTCTTTTTTTTTTTTTTTTTTTTTTTTANGAAAAAAAAATATAAAAAAAATTATACTAAACCGTGTAACATTACGTTCACAAATTTCTTGACTCAAATTATTTTTTCTTTTGACAAGTGCAACTTTTTCTTTGAATTTTTTTAATTTCTTTTTTATTTTTTTTTTTGATTAAAATTAGCCTCAAAATTTTAATTTTTAATTGCCAATTTTTCTTTTCTGTTATTTTTATTGTTATTATTTTTTTTTTAATCTTCACCGTAATACTAAAGACAAAGAATTTATGTCTATTTTTATCGTTTTTAAATATCACAGACATCAGAATTAGTATTTTATATTTATAAGCATTTTTGTGCGTATTTCACGAGTGTGTTATGAATTAAAATGAAGAGGGAAAAGGGTTTGTTGTTTTGTACAAAAAACATCTCTCTGTTTTATTTTATTTTATTTTTTTGTTTTGTTTTATTTTGTTTTGTTATATTTTTCATATTATTTTTCTTTCTCTAAAAATCTCAAATGCACACGTGCACCCATACACAATCATTCACAAAAGTTAACATAAATTTTATTAAAAAAAAAAAAAAATAATAATAATATTAAATACTCGACACAACTATGTCAACTAAGGTGCTTTTGTTGTTTCTTTTTTAAAATGAAAAAAAAAAAATAATAAAAATGTTAAGAAATGAAAGACAAAAATAGAAAAAGAAAATACGCAAAAATGAAAAGCAACAAAACAAAGATAAAAATAAATAAAACGAGTGCATCCTTTCTCTCTTCTTCCTCGACCCCCACCACCATCACCACTATCCCCACCATCACCAGCATCATCCCCACCACCACCTTTTCCCTCTCCTCTTACCTCGTCGTCGTTGCAACGTTTTAATTACAACGTCGATGTGTCTTCCATTTGGCAAGGTTCCCGCGAATGTCGAGATGATGAGAAAGAGAAAGAGAGAGAAAGAAAGAGAGAGAAAGAAAGAGAGAGAGAGAGAGAGAGAGAGAAAGATAAAGAGAGAGATACGATAGATTTATGTTACAACAAACGCGAAAAATATCTTTTTTTTTTTCTCTTCTAATTTTAAACTTGAAATATTTAACGAGTTTGAAGATTATTTCCGAACTTGATTGATTAAAAAAAAGATGAGAGTTTCCAGATGAGAATAAATGCATCTTTTCATCTTTTACGTGATTTTTTATTGGAAGTAAAAATAAAAAAAGAATATTCTAACATATTTCATCGAATGATTTCTCATTGAACGCGTTTTGTGTATTATATTTGAATAATAATTTTGATTCATTTAAAGTATCGAAATGAACGATAAATGAAAAGACCGTTCTCACGATCGAGATGATAAATACGCATGCACATGCTCTTTTATTATCTAATTTAATAATTGTAAATAATCCGATAAAATTTGAAACAAACCGAATTTAGTTATCTGATTTATTGAATTTTCTTTTTTTTCTTTTTTCAATTTTGTAAAAGAATAGAAAAGAATCAATGACGAATGAAAAAAAAAAAAAACCGAGTTCTAAATAGCAATATGATATTATTATACTAAATTATACAGGGAATTACGTTTATTCCCATAATTCTTTTTTTTTCATTTATTTATTTATTTTTTTTTCATAATCTATTTTCGTCTGTTGTTGTTGTTTTTTTTTTTTTAATTTTTTTTTTGTAGTTTGGTCGAAACCTGATATCTTGCGATTACCTTTCCAGGCACTTGTCCACATTCGACATCGCCTTGAACCCCAAAATGGCGAAAATGACAACGCTCGCGTAAATGGCGGTAAACGCGTTGCACACGCTCACCAGAATCACGTCCCTGACGCAATTGTTGTCGGGTGTATTGTAGCTTCCGAATGCGATCAAGGAACCAAAAGCTAATCCAAAGCTATAGAAGACTTGTGTTGCCGCATCTAGCCAGACCGTGGGCTCCAATAATTTCTCCACCTTTTGTTGGTTGGTATTATAGAAACAAACCCCAACAATAAAACCCCCCATGGGTCCCCGGTTACCAACAGATAAAACGGGAAGAAAGAGGTGTATATTAAAAAAGAAATAAAAAAAAAAAAAATAAAACAGGGAAACAAGAAAACAGATTTCTATGAAATTCGAATTTATTAATCCGTTTTTGTCTTCGTAGTAAATAGTAATAGTAATAATAGTTTTTTTTTATGTATATCTATATATTAATAGAATAATTTGTTCATACCTTTGGCGTGTACATGTGAGCTAATCCGGCACTAGCACCTTTCAATGTAATCCCACGAATGAAGAAGATCGTGAGTACAAGGTACGGGAACATCGAGGTAAAATAAACTACCTGTAATCAATTGAAAATTTATTAGAAATATATTTATATTTCATATTAATTAAATTTATTAATTAAATGTATATTAATAATATTAATAATATTATTAAATATATATATATAATATAATATTAATTAAATATATAATTTAAATTATATAAAAATATAGTTTATTATTTAATAATATATTTAACTATATAAATATATTCTCATATATATTTAATTATATTATTATATTATATAATTAATTTAATATTTTATAATAAATTAAATATTTAATTTAAATTATATATATATATTATATATAATATTATATATTTTTTTACAACACGTTTATAGTCATGTAAAATTCAATTGCAACTGCCTGAATTATCAATATGTTTGACAGTGAACGTGTTGTGTTGTTCATTTCTGAACATTTCTGAACATAGTTGAACATTGTCATCAATGATTTGATTCAAGTTTGATTTGATTCATGTTTGATTTGATTTGATTGGTATTTACCTTGCCCGATGATTGTATTCCCTTCATGACGATAAAGAATATAACGACCCAACTTAGCAAAAGGCACATTACGATCCACCATTTCAAAGATGATCCTTCCTCGATTGATGGTGCAGCATCCAATGTGGTTCTGTACCAAAAGTAAGCTGTCTCAGAGCTCTTGACACATTCTTCTACCGGTTTCTCGTTGATCTCCGGGCACTTCGCCCATGGCAGTGGTGCCTGAATTGCGTCAGAATTTCGATATCGGTCACCACAAAAAAAAACGGTTATAAATTCCGGATTTTCTAAATTAATTAACTCCGAACGATATCTGATTATAATAACTCAATAATATCCAATTTAAATCGGTTCATTTAAACTGTATAACTCTTTGTTCCCGCCATTTTTTCTGAGCCATCTGTAGGAAAATAGCGGAAACAAAGCTGTACATTCTAATATTTGCGAAACTTTTTGATAGGTTAAAGAAAATTTAATGGGGTTGATTTTAAATAAAAGTTGATTTGTTTAAGAGTAATATGTTATTTATTATTATTAATAAATATTAGAAATAAAGTTAACTTTTTAATATTAATGTTTAAATGTGTGTGGTAATTTGTACAAAATTAGATGACAATGCATTACTGTATACATTATTCATTTTTATAAATAAAAGAAGGTATATTGTTAAGAGTTAATTGTTATTGTTAACTAAACATTTTTCAAGATATTTTAAATAAAATTATTCAACTTTTGTTTAACACATTTTCTTTTTTTTTTATTAACAGTATTGAAATTATTTAAATGGATCGATTTAAATAGGACATTCTGTAATATATTTTTATGTAATTTATGCGTGCTGCTTTTTGATGTTTATGAAATTTATGAACGATTTATTATTTTATTAAATATACAAAAATATAATATATGCTAAAATGGGTACTTACTTTTGTTCGTGATCAACTATAATGAGTTCAATAATTATCCAACAATTTTATTATGTTTATGACATTGGTTTTTTTTTTTTATTCTTTTGTATAATACTTGTAAAACAAGTTTTATTATCACACCTGACGAAATATTATACAGGTTGATTTAATATTGCAAATATAGTTTTTCAGAGATTGTGGATAATTATTGATCGAGTATTTTATCAGAAAAAAAAAAATGAAGAAGGATGGTAAAGAAAAGATAAAAAAAAATAATATAAACATATGACAAAAGATAAGACAACATTCACATTTTTCAAATTGATCCTTCTCGTTGGTAACTCAACGAGTGAGAACATGAATTATATAATTATATAAGAAAAAAAGGGTTTTATTTGATACAAACAAATTGTAATCAATTATGATTATATAAAACAACGATCAGATGATTATGATGATGATGATGATGATTATTATTATTATTATTATTATTATTATTATTATTGAAATATTATGAGATAGATGTTTTGTTTGTTGAATGAATTTGCAAGCAGATCACAAGCATTTTTAAAAGATTATCTTTTATTACAAGCAAACTAGATGAAAGATTATTACAAAAATAATTATTATGATGATTATGATGATGTTTTATGAAGGTTTTATTTAAAGATTTTTTTAAATGAATTAAATAAAAAAAGTTAGAAAAACAAGAAAACAACTCGAATCGTCGTCTTCTCACCTAATTTAATAAAATAATGTTAGATAGAAAAATGAAACAATCTTCCATTATTGATTAGGGATATTTTTTAAACAATTGTCCCCCATAAAAAAATATTGTCCATCTTCCAGATTGATTTTACAATAATTTAGGAAGACGATGAACGATTTATTGCAAATTGCAAGACGACGATTAAAATGAGAATGCGAAATATTTGTGAAAAAAAAAAAAAAATAAATAATTGAATATTAAAATGAACCATGACGGAACAAATTCTTTTCGTGAACCGATTTTGTTTGTTTATTTTTTCTTGCTTTCTATGCTTTTGATTTTGTTTTTTTTGTTTTCTTTTCATAGTATTTTTTGCAAGCTGACACTGTTTTAGGGGTACTTACGCCGAAATTAATTGTGACTGCCTATGGGGGTGTGCGAGGGCACGAGTTTGGAAAAAAACAGAAAAATAGTATTCCATTAGTTTTTACAATTAACATAAACAAAAAACAAAACACATTCCTTTTTTTAGATTTTTTTTTTTTTTTTTTAATTACTACGAGGTTTCTTTTATTTTAATCCCTTAATTTTTCTTTCATTTGAAATATTTTTGTCAAAGAATAATAATATGCAAAAGCATTTGGTTGATTCATCAGTTCATTTCAATCATTTTTATTTTTATTTCTTTTTTTTTTTCTTTGTAATTAGTATGAATCATATCGTTAGAATTATTAACAAAAAAAAATATATGAAAAAAGATATGTGAAAAAAAAGAACACAGTTTTTTATTTTCTTCTTATCTTTTTTTACGACAAATAATTAGTTTTAATTATTTACACGAATATTAAATAATTTTGTTATTTTAATCATTTCAGTTGTAATTTTAATAAAATTAATTTGAGATAGAAATAAATTCAAGTTTTTTTATCAGGTAGATTAATTGTATTAAATAATTAATAAAAATTAATCACAAACGAATTAAAAATTAGTCCTCAAAAATAAAACATTGAGAATAAACGTACTCGTATAAACACAAAAAAAAAGAAAAGAAAAGAAAAAAGAAAATATTATCTCTGAGATGAAATATTAAAAAATAACTCACCTCGAGAGAGTTGAAGAGGTAGAAGAAACACCAGGTAATAATGACGTTGTAATAAAGTGCAACGAAGAAGGTGACAATACAGGAGGCTATTCCTATACCACCCAACCAGGGGTGTATCGTATTCCAAACACCTAGGGCACCTTGTCTCATTCGTTGTCCAACACCCAATTCGATTAAAAATAATGGCACCCCTTCTAAGATGAGCATCACGAAAAATGGTATAAGAAAGGCACCTATTTTAAACAATCAAAAAAACAAATAATTAGAAAAATTTATTTTTAAGTTTTATTAACAAAATTAAGAAAATTTGTTTAATTAACATTTTAGTGACCTCTCAAACGACATGTGGGTGTGTGTGTGTGATGAATTAATTAATGTGTAAGAGTTGTAAACATGTAGGTGTTTGTTTTATTAATTATCGCACATATAAGAAAAATATTGAATTTGTAATTAATTGTTATTGTTTTTTGTTAAGCACATGTTGTATTATTTCGTGAATTTTGATCAAATTTGTTTGAATTAATTTTTCAAAAATATTTTGTCAGACACCTTGCAACATTTGACTCATTGTAAGTAGACGTATGCTGCCATTAAAGTGCTAATCATAAGTTAACATATATTTTAATTAATAAATAATAATTTTAAAACTATCAGTCACATTTAAAAATTATTATTATTATATTTGTAACAATTTTAAACGTGATTAAGAATGATTGAAAAAAAACATAACACGCCAACGTTGATTTAATAACGAAACATAAACGTGTGTGTTGTGTTGCAATTACACTGTTGGAATTTCTTATCGATCGTAAACTATATAACCAACACGTTTGAAGTTTCTACAATGTAAACTGTATAAGTGTGTATGTAATGCACGATATCACATATGATTCATAGTAATTCATAAATTTTTCAACGTTTATTTATTTTTGAAAGAAGAAAGTGGTGGTAGGGTGAAAAGATTTGTTTTAGGTGAAATTAGGAAACCAATTCTGGGATGTTCTATTTTTATTTATTTTTTTTTTATGGTGGTAGAGTGAAGGGATTTGTTTTAAATGAAATTAAATAAAAAATAAGACTGTGATGTATTTTATTTTATTTATTTTTTTTAATTTTTAAACACGTGTATGGTTAAAGGGATTTGTTTTAGGTGAAATTAAGAACAAAAAAACAAATTTATGATGTGTTTTAATTTTTTTTTTTTATTTTTGAACACGTGTATGGTTAAAGGGATTTGTTTTAAATAAAATTTAGCAAAAGAAAATCTGTGATATATTTTATTTAATTATTTTTTTTTAATTTTTTAACACGTGTATAGTTACAGGAATTTGTTTTAAATGAAATTAGGCAAAAAAAAAATATCTGTGAGGCGTTTTTATTTATTTTTTTTTTTTTTAATTTTGAAACACGTGTACTTTGAAAGGGATTTGTTTTACGTAAAATT